TGGTGAGCAATGCTCCTTCCTCAAGACTTACACCATTCACAACCATTCTCTTAACATACCTTCTTAGTGCAGGTGAAAGCTTGACTGCATCAACAAGAGGAATCACAAACATCAGCTTGTCTATCATTGCATTGCATCTGGCTTCTTGTATCTCATGTTTAGAGTTCCTAGAATGCATGGGGTAGGGTATCTTGGGGTTATAAGCTTGTTGCTTGCTATTATCTGCAGTTACAGACGAAGCAGCTTCGTTCTGGGATGGGTGACGATCGTCACCAGGGGGTGACACTCTTCATTGACTAGTGACGGCCCTTGGGTGACGATATCGGTTGTCACCACTTCGTCAGAACGTATATTTTGCTTCTGTAAGTTGACTGATGAGCGACACTCCTTGGTGACGCTCGCCACTCCCTCTGAGACTGCAAAATTTTCATCTTCAAACTCCACCAGTTGCACGATCTCCTCTGCACTCAGCCTCTTTTTATGCACTGAATTAAGCTATTTTCACTTCTGAGTGTGATGGAACTGACATGATGTCTTGGATTATTGTCAGTCTTTCCAGGAAGGAATCCTTCTTGCCTTGGAACAGCTCCTGCAGCTTGAGCAACCTGAACATCTAGTTTCTTCATGTGAGAGTTCAAACTCTAAATTTTTCCATTCAGGTCCTGGTACAACGAATATATCTTCCAATTGAAGTCCACATTCATCTTCTGCTGTCTTTCTAGGATCTGTTCCAACATAGCTTACATCTTGTTGTCTTGTGCAGGTGGCGTTTGATAGGAAGAAGAACCATAGTTCATGTTGAAGTTGCTGCTATTCTAGTATAGTTTTGAAACTCAGTCTTTTGGAATAATGGCTGTGGCGTGTAACCAGAAGAATTCTGGTTTCCTGTGAAGTTACTCTTCTGATTATTACCATTGTAACCTCTGTTCCACTCCTGATTCCCAAACCTTTGATTCTGAGAACCTCCTGCATTGATGAAATTAACATCCTCCTGCTCAATCTCTTCAAGATTATTGAAAGTCTTCACCTCTGCAGCAAACTAGGCCGATTTCTTCCCCACCAGAAGGCTATGCATGCTGTCTAACTTAGCCTTGACCTCAGCGATTTGGTTTTCTTCATTTATACCAGCTTACTTCATCCTTTGAAAGTCAGCAATCTTGGTGCTGTTATTGGATGCCAAATTTTCATTCAAAGAGATTGCATCTTCTGGAAGGTTTGTGTTGAAGTTACCACTGCTAGCAGCATCCAACGCCATCTGGTTTTTCAATCTACTCCTCTGAAGAAGATTCCAAGCAGCTGCATGATAGGGCTCATTTTTTACCCAAATAAAAACTACTGCATATGCTCAACAAAACAGTCATAGTATAATGGGTATCGAATCCCAAAGGAGTATGTAAACTACACTATCGATTGCAGGTTCAGATTAAGCTAAGCAGTAACTGGTGTATGTAATGCGAATGACAAAATAGAAGAAAGCAAACGAAATCTGGTTGTTGATCTAAGTTTCAGAAGATTAAAAGCGCTAAGTCAGGACAATTCGCAGGTTGAATCCAAGAATGTAGAATGCATGAAATCAGGAATGATTAAGAACCGTCCTGAACATGAATTGCAAATATATAACTAATCAATTCTCATTGCAGAAGTTATCTATGTCTAAATCACAGAGTTTCAATTCTCTTTGCAAACCCTAACAATATAAACATGCAGTAATGAACAAGTACAATTGTTCACAAAACTCCTAAGCTAAATCTCTTTGCACTAAGTTGTTTTGCTCATCTAATGCTAGATCAGGTTATCAATAATGCTCTCACATCTATTAAACAACCTATGATTTTTGGATTTCTAGATGATGTGTCTAAGAAATCAATTTTCAAACAAACAGAGATGAAGAACCAAAAGATAATCCTAACAGATAGCAATTCTACAAACTCTTCATCAACCTTTGAATAGCCCTAACTTAACTAGAAAATTACTCAGACATGATCATGGAATCACAAAACATAACTGAATAAAATTGCATTGAAAGAATGAAATAAAAATAAAGGGGGTTCGAAATCTTCTCCAAAAAGAGTACAGGAGTTGTCTCCCCAAAAGCTCTCAATAAAATCCTCTCTAAGCTCTCTGAATTCTCAAAAACTAAGATATCTGCCAAAAGAATGGCTGAAAAACCTAATATACATGCTAAAACACGATCTGGGATGTTCTTGCAAATACTGGAACTTATGGGCCAATTCTGCAAATAATCTTCAATCTTTTAATAAATCAGCCACGCTCCTTCCTTTATGGGTGACGAGCGTCACCATAGGTGGTGACGAGCGTCACCCAAATCCATTCTTTTCTTCTCGAGTTGCACACTTCGTGGCTTCATCTTACAATGCTCTAAAAAGCTTCAATATCTCCAATTATGCTCCAGACATGCTATAACCTGCAAAGACTCTACTAGTACTCTAAAAAGACCAAAAAGACTCAATTAAAAGGATTTATACCATGGTTAAAAACCATGATATATTAACTCCCCCAGACTTAGCATTTGCTTGCCCTCAAGCAAACATCAGACGAAGAACAGGGTCGAGGTTTGAAAACAAGATACAGTCAGCTAAACATCAGGAACACCACATTAGTTAACACTTTCGAATCCACATACCACATACTCAACACAAGATCAAATTTCAGTATAAGCATCACAAGCTTAGCAAATCTCTCAAATCCAATCCAAATCCCTTTAAGAAATCCGAAATCTCTACTGCCAACTCCTTATTTTTATCTAAGTGTGATATCTCATCAAGGTTTTATCATCTTAATCACTTACAGATTCTTTTCCCTTCCTAACAACTGAATAAATCAATCTCAACATAGCTCTCCTATTTTCTCTTCCCTTGATCTTTTCTTTCTGTTTTTGTTTTCGATTTTTCAACTCTTTTTCTTATTTTTTTTACAGTATATGATATGGTGCTACTCAGTAATTGTGTTCCTTGTGAAGAGACAGGTTCTTGAGTGTGTTCATTACTGTTGTTCCTTGTGAGGAGACAGTGTAATGACCCTGATAAGTGATGCGGATGGCTGAGAGTCAGTGATCTGTCGGAGTAAGAGTTTTCCCGTGGCTATTTCGTCCTTATAAATCCAAAGTGTATTTTTCGTCATTATAGATTAATGGATGAGGACGAATCTGGTCAAGCTATTTTGTCTTTATTGATTAGCGGATAAGTATGAACCTGGCCAGCAGCTATTTCGTCTTTATGGATGAAGAGATAAGCATGGACTGCTGTTTCGTCTTCATTGATTCTTGGATAAGCATGGGCTGCTATTTCGTCTTTATAGATGAATGGATAAGCACGAAGCTGGTCAATGAGCTATTCTGTCTTTATAAATGAGTGGATAGGATATGATAGGATCAAGAGTGGATAGGATAGGATAGGAACAAAGGTGGATAGGACGGATGACTGACCTATGTGCTAGGAAGCTTACTTAACCCCTATAAATACCCCATCACGATGCCATTTAGAACTCACACCAAAAACGACCTAGAGAGAGAAAGGAGAGAAATAAAGAGAGAAGAGAAAGGGCGTTCTGGTATAAGGAGAACCGGAGGTGAGGAGGCAAAGCTAGGACCCATCCGTGGTAGTGAAGTGTAGTCGATAAACCGTTCAGCCGAAAGCACTGTGAGTTGTGATGATGTGTGATTGTTTGCTAGGATTCATTTGTTAGATTTCGTGATGTTTCTACTATATGCTTATTTGATTATAGTTGCATGAGTTGCTGTAGTCTTTGGTTAAGTTATTCATTTATATTTGAGGTTCTACGATAATTTAGCTAAATTTTATGGTGATTGGTGATGAGTTGTGATGACGGTTTGATCCTACCTCATTACCCCATTTTTAGCCGATGGACTGGCTAAATGGGAAGACTCGGAGAGATGGGATTGCAGCCTAGGGCCGAGTTCTATCCGACGGGATAGTCAGGTGTTTGCCGTAGATAGTCGGAGCCTGCCGAGTCTGTGCGGTCGAAAGACAGGACTCGGGATTTGTGAAGTTCTATCTCATATGCCTTTCTGGTTATGAGATAGGTGTTCACGAGAGGGACATGATTAAATACGCTAGGCCTTTGGTGATGGTGTGGTGACATTGTGATTGTTTAGTAACGCATACTTTGTGTGATTTGCGTGTTGTGTGATATTTTGGGTTTTGGGTTGGGAATTATTATATCCGTTAGGGGAGCCATAACTCACTGAGCGATTAGCGCTCACCCCTTACTCTCTTTTGCAGGAAACCAGTAGACGATAAACCTTGTAGCGGAAAGCAAGGACGTTAGGCCACCAGTGTAGGTTTTTGTTGCCTTTGTAAAATAAACGTTTGATGCATGTTGTATAATCGTTTGAGCATTAGGCCGAAGTATGAAAGTTTGTTCAATGTTTTGTGAAACCTTTATATATGAATAAATAAAGTTTATTTTTATATGACCAGTTTCATCTGATAATGTCTTGTCCGGGCTAACACAACTCTCGGCTTAGGTATGGGTTGGCAAGCCTTAGGCTTTAGCCGAGAGGAATCGGATTTTGCGGATGGACCGGGTGCGGCTTTGGATTCGTTTTAAAGCTTTGGCTGGACTGTCTGTGATGTTCGATCTTGTAGCATCTTCGGTCTGGTTTAGGTCGGATGGTTGGACGTGCATGTTCTTGTTTGATTGTTGCGCGGCCGATCGGTTCAAATCCGGCTTAGATCGCGTCGGGGGTGTTACAAATGGTGGTATCAGAGCATGGTTCATGATCATGCTATATTGGGACTTGGTTTTCAAACGTTTTATCGAGTCAAAACGTGTCGCAAAGGCAACTAGGAAAACTGGTACGTTTCTTGCATATTAGGTAGAGGTGTTAGGACTTACCTTTGGGAGATTTGTTGCAGATGTCAACGCGACGATTGTTAGTAAAGGGACCAGTACGGGGACCTCAGTCAACTCGTAGACCTGTGAATCGTTATCACTCCCCGACCCCTTCAAGCTCACCAATGCAATCAGGTTGGGGACCATCAGAAAATAATGAAACCGAAGTGAATAGTGGGAATGTAGAGTTGTCAATGGAAGGAAGTGAACAACGAGATTTGAGTTATGACCAAGGCGAGTCTAGACATACGAGATCACGACAAGAAGGATACTTTGAGCAGGAAGATGCGTACCCAAATCAACATGTGTCAGGAAGAGACCATGGCAGGTCGACTCAAACCCGAGAACGATCGAGAGAATTCGCAGATCGAGGGGAAGATTCTATGAGGAAGATGATGCATGAAATGCATGACTATTTGATGCAGCAGCAACCAATGGTGGCCAATGTTCCATCCCAGAGCTCAACACCATCAGATTTTCTTCGAACCGTGAAACTGATGAAAGACCTTGGAACAACCTATTTTGGAGGAGGAACAAATCCGTTTGATGCTGACAATTGGTTGCAAAATATGAAGACGAACTTTGCAGCAACACGATGTTTTGAACAGAATAAGAAGGATATTGCGGTATTCTATTTGGAAAGAGATGTTATGGGTTGGTGGTCAAGTATTGAGCACCATTACAACCATATCCAACCAACGTGGCAAGATTTTAGTAAAGAGTTTACCAGAAAATATTTCCCATTGGAGGCAAGAGACAGATTAGAAGCTCAATTTATGAGGTTAGAATAAGGGGAGAGAAACGTTCGAAAATATGAAGCGGAATTCACAAGACTCCGGAGGTACGTACACTTTGGTTATGAAGACAAAGGTGCAGTAATAAGAAGGTTCATGCAAGGTTTGAGGCCAGAACTTCAGAGTCGACTTTAAGTAGTGGAGTATACATCTTTTTTGGGGTTGGTCGAAAGAGCGGTGAATGTAGAAGATGCTCTTACCGCAGAAGAAGAAGTTAGGTCCCGGCGTTATAAGAGAAAGTATGACGGATTTGTGGAAGGAGAGCCAAGTAATCAAGGGAAGAAGAAAGGATACAAGGAGAGTCGTGCAAACAACCCCTCGGATTTGGTAATTGTATGTTACCAATGTGGAGAATCTGGACATATTTCGCGAGTATGTCCACATAATCAGATGCGATCTGTTCCAGCACATATCACTTGTTTTGGCTGTGGAGAGAGGGGCCATTATATGAGCAGATGTCCAAAGACGCATCCAAGTGTACGAGTTGACGAACTTCTAGCGCTTGAACAACCTCCGTCCCGTCCTGCAATTGAAGCTCCGCCACCAAAGCAGTCAACAACAATAGGACGAGTGTATTCCTTAGGTATAGATAAAGTCAAACCTTCACGACTTTTTTAAGGTCCCAGAACAGGTAAGTATGGGTGCTAACTCTCTTAAATGATTGATTGCATGATTGCTTGCATGGTGTGGTATTGAGTGTGAATATGGTTAGGAAATCTCTAGACCCTTTCTTAGAAACCATAGGAATCTACCCTTAGTATTTAAGAAACCGTTTGACCTAACTTTGAGAATTCGGGACAAATTCTTTTAAGGGGGGAAGAATGTAATGACCCTGATAAGTGATGCGGATGGCTGATAGTCAGTGACCTGTCGGAGTAAGAGTTTTCCCGTGGTTATTTCATCCCTATAGATCCAAAGTGTATTTTTCGTCTTTATAGATTAATGGATGAGGACGAATCTGGTCAAGCTATTTCGTCATTATTGATTAGCGGATAAGTATGAACCTGGCCAGTAGCTATTTCGTCTTTATGGATGAAGAGATAAGCATGGACTACTGTTTCGTCTTCATTGATTTGTGGATAAGCATGGGCTGCTATTTCGTCTTTATTGATGAATGGATAAGCACGAAGCTGGCCAGTGAGCTATTCTGTCTTTATAGATGAGTGGATAGGATAGGATAGGATCAAGAGTGGATAGGATAGGATAGGAACAAAGGTGGATAGGACCGATGACTGACCTATGTGCTAGGAAGCTTACTTAACCCCTATAAATACCCCATCACGTTGCCATTTAGAACTCACACCAAAAACTAACCTAGAGAGAAAAAGTAGAGAAAGAAAGAGAGAAGAGAAAGGGCGTTCAGGTATAAGGAGAACCGGAGGTGAGGAGGCAAAGCTAGGACCCATCCGTGGTAGTGAAGTCTAGTCGATAAACCGTTCAGCCGAAAGCACTGTGAGTTGTGGTGATGTGTGATTGTTTGCTAGGATTCATTTGTTAGATTTCGTGATGTTTCTACTATATGCTTTTTTGATTATAGTTGCATGAGTTGTTGTAGTCTTTGGTTAAGTTAATCGTTTATATTTGAGGTTCTAGGACAATTTAGCTATTATGGTGATTGGTGATGAGTTGTGATGACGGTTTGATCCTACCTCATTACCCCATTTTTAGCGATGGACTGGCTAAATGGGAAGACTCGGAGAGACGGGATTGCAGCCTAGGGCCGAGTTCTATCTCACGGGATAGTCAAGTGTTTGCCGTAGATAGTCGGAGCCTGCCGAGTCTGTGCGGTCGAAAGACGGGACTTGGGATTTGTGAAGTTCTATCTCATGTGCCTTTGTGGTTATGAGATAGGTGTTCACGAGAGGGACAGGATCAAATACGCTAGGCCTTTGGTGATGGTGTGGTGACATTGTGATTGTTTAGTAACGCATACTTTGTGTGATTTGCATGTTGTGTGATATTTTGGGTTTTGGGTTGGGAATTATTATATCCGTTAGGGGAGCCATAACTCACAGAGCGATTAGCGCTCACCCGTTACTCTCTTTTGCAGGAAACCAGTAGACGGTAAACCTTCTAGCGGAAAGCAAGGACGTTAGGCCGCCAGTGTAGGTTTTTGTTGCCTTTGAAAAATAAACGTTTGATGCATGTTGTATAATCGTTTGAGCATTAGGCCGAAGTATGAAAGTTTGTTCAATGTTTTATGAAACCTTTATATATGAATAAATAAAATTTATTTTTATATTGACCGGTTTCATCTCATAATAGTCTTGTCCGGGCTAACACAACTCTCGGCTTAGGTACGGGTTGGCAAGCCTTAGGCTTTAGCCAAGAGGGATCGGATTTTGCGGATGGACCGGCTGCGGCTTTGGATTCGTTCTAAGGCTTTGGCTGGAATGTCTGTGATGTTCGATCTTGTAGCATCTTCGGTCTGGTTTAGGTCGGATGGTTGGACGTGCATGTTCTTGTTTGATTGTTGCGCGGCCGATCGGTTCAAATCCGGCTTAGATCACGTCAGGGGTGTTACAGACAGGGTCATGAATGCACCATTCTTTGGACTTAAACTCTTAAAAACTGCATCTTGGAAGATCAAAGAGAGACTGTCTCTTAACCTATTTGTCAGTGCTGAAAGAGAGAATCAAGATCAATAAAAATCAAGCTCCAAGATAAGAAGTTTAAAGTTCATTAAGGTGGAGGTAACAACAAATTTTCCAGATTCTCTAAGGACCTAAACCTTCATTGCTAGATGATGTTACTACATATTGCATGCATTTTTCATACATATTAGTTAGCTTTTCATGGATTTACATCATGCTTTAGACTAGATTTCATCGCTTAGGGTCCTAGAGCATTCTCGCACTAGCATGCACATGTTCCTTGCATTTTCCATCACATTCAGGTTGTTTCTGGCCACTTTGGAGTCGTGGAGGTTCATGGACGTGCTGAAGCTGTTGTGGCGGTTTGTGGAAAGTCGGATGTTTGCTAAGGACCAGAGATCGGGGAGCAGATCGAGCATAGCAGGTCATTGAGAAGACCAGGCAATCCAAGGAAAATGATCGAGAAGAAGATCGAGTGGAGCAATCGATCAAACGGTACGGACGTAAATGACGCCATGTAGAGCGAGGGCCGGATCGAGTCCACCACTCGATCCAACCAAAGATCGATACCAATATCTGATGCAACACTCGATCCACCGAAGATGATCGAGACCCAGATAGAGTTGAAGAAACTATGCCCGAAAATGATCGAGAAAGCCGCTCGATCCCGAGGTCGATCTCTGTCCTTTCAACCGCTTTTGGCCGCTAGCGAGGGGGGGACCATCGAGCTGTTTTCGCCATTTTGGGAAGACGGCGATGTCTCTTTCCACACACAACTTTTCAATCTTATCTTTTTATGCTTTTTCTCTCTAGTTTTGGAGATTATCCACCATTGTCGAACTTGAAGTTTTTCTTGCTTTTGTAATCGAATCGTTTGAAAGTTTAATCTAGTTCTTTTTCATGTTCATCATTTCTTTCTTCATGCTTTGCTTGATTTATCTTATGTGTAGTGAGTAGTTTCATTAGGGTTTAGGGGTTGAGAGGATTCAAGGGGTCAAAAAGGTTTTCGATCTTGGAGTTTTCTAGCGCTTAATGGCTATCTCATCTAGGGTGTCGAGTTCCTAAAGCTTAAAGACTCTCACGCCAAGAGCTTTATGATCCGAGAGGTCTCTTACCTTGACAGGATTCAGGGACCTTTGAAGATCGCACCCTAGAGACTAGTTACCCCTTCCCAAAAGCCATGGAAGTTTGGGGGACTAGTTAAGCCATGTGTTTGAAATCTGTTTTTCCTGCCCTTCAACCTCTCTTTCCACCAAAAGCCATGGGTTTGGAGGAGAGGATGAAGGAGTGATGTATACCAAAAGCCACAGATAGATCTTATTTCGTTTTCAAGGCTTAGAGATTCTCACAAGGTGAGTCGATTTAAAGTTTTCAACCCAAGCTCGGACCTTTGAAACCCCTGACCATGAATCCCAACCCTAGACCCTCTTTCTTAGCATTTTTACATCCTCTCTCGTCATTCGCTTGATCTTTGATAGCATCCTAGTAGTTAGTTTCACTGCTCTTACATTTTTAGACGAGATCGATCGCTGTTGCTCGATCTAGTGGTCGATCCCGTGGTCGATCCACTAGTCGAATTTTAGTAATTTGTAGCTTTGTTCTTTAATTATTCTGTTTGTTCTTCATGGTAGTTTGATCATTCCTGGTAATTTTAAAATAGTTTGCATTCCATTTAGTTGGTGCATCTAGTTTTTAGGGATTTTCTCAAAGCCGATCTTTATTCGCTTAGATTTGCAAAGCCCTTGCATTCTCTTTGATCTTCCTAGCTCCTAGAAATGGATTGACTCTCACTTGCATACTGCACTACAACCTAAGTGTTGCATTTGAGTTTGATAGCCTCATTGCATCCTCACCCTTGCAAAGAAATTAGTTATCAAATGGCGCTGTTACCATTCTAGGAGTTTTAGAAAGCATAGAGATTTGGAGCTTAGTAATGACTAAGCATTTACCTTGTTTTAGTTTCTAATAGCTCTACTTAGTAATACTTGTAATCAGCTACTTTGGCAATGGTTCTTAAAAGCATAAACGTCATATGGTTAGTTCCATGAAAAACTAACAATTTCAAAATTTTGACTCAATAAAAACAGGTTTTTGACTCAACTTTAAGACTCTATAAATCAAACACAAAGTACACAACGTCAGTAACCACCTCCCCCATACTTAAACAACACTGTCCCCAGTGTTATTAAGCCAAGAGTTGGTTAAAATGAAGCATGAGATCTTGTAGAACTAAGTTAAAAAGTGGTACCTCGCGAAGGGACGGGTGACGAGCGTCACCAGCTTGGTGATGAGCGTCACCACGTCTGATACTTCAGAATCAACAAGTTGGATGCTTAAACGTTGTGTCATCATGTGTACTCCGAAGTTAGACTGTTGGAGCATTCAAAACACACATCAATAACA